TTCCTGCTGCCAAGGAGCAAAGATGATTGTAATCTGTGTAACCTGCAGAAGTTGATGTGAAAGAGCGTCCCATTTCCCTGTGGATTATCCCACCATCACTGAAACTTGTGCTGCTTTCATCAGAAGTAAATTTTTTAGAAGATTTTGGCAGCCAGACTGCCTACCCTTGCAGAAAGATGTCCTGTTTGAAACATGGAGGAAAAGTTGGTACCGAGACTTTTCCCTGCTGCTCCCTGTGGTTTGGTCTGCAAAGCACTTTCTGTCCTCTTTTATATTCTGTGTATTTTTAAACTATGCTCCAGGCAGCTCACTTCCTAGTTAAAAAACCCTCAAATAAACTGGCAGACAGTTAAAGAGAGATAATGAAGTCTGATAAACCATATGTACTTCTCTCTTCTGTTTACAGTCGTATATTCCAGGACCTGCGGTTACTTGATGTTACCTTGTCTGCCACTGCTGGAAAAGTGGTCAATTACACCAAATAAAAAAAAAAAAAAATAATGCTTTGTGTCTTCTCTTGCCTTTGTCTTCATTGGAAAGAGCAGGTGTTTGGCCTGTTCAGTTTAATTATTTATTTGTAGTAATATTCTCTTTTATAACCCTGTTTCCTCATTTACTAATTTAAATTAATGAACAAAGCCCTGCGATTGTTTTTGGATTTTATTAAAATGACAGCAAGGCACATGCTCAGTGATTCACCACTTGAGTCCTGAGTAGGGCATTTTTACTAGGTGGGTCAGTTTTTAAAACAACAGCATCTGCTTGCTTGTACACGGTTACGATTCTTCCCCAGGCGAGCATGCAGGAGTCTGGTGATTAATAACCAGCTGTTGGAATTAGCAAATAGGGAAAGCGGTTGTCTGATCTGTGAAGGAGTGTGGGAGCCAAGGCCAGAAATAATAAAAGCTAAACAGATGCCCCAAATATATAAACCCAAGTAGGGACTTGTAAATTACTTGCACTGCTGAGGGCAAAATTGTGTCAGATGGGTTGACTTTGTCTGGAGTCTTTATTGAAGATGAAATCCTCTCCACAACCATGTCACATATAGCCGTGCATGGGAGTTTGTGGAGAGCACCCTGGGTCTGATTCTGGAGAGCACCCTGGGTCTGGTTCTAGCACTTCTGCAGTGCTCAGCCAGTGTGAGTGAAGCATGGCAGCTCGCTCTGGTGGCCTCCGCCAGTTGCCTCTCCGATGTATTAGCAGAGTGGGCAAAAAGGGATCAGAGCGTGAGGAGACTCTGCTGTTGGATGACCTTGTCTTAATTCCCAGGTGTGCTGTGGCTCTGGTCCTTTCTGGTGCTATTTTGAGGTGTGTTCTCACACTGAATAATTGCTTGGACAATCGCTGCAGGAGTACGACAGCAACACCAAAGGTTT